TNCTTTCGTTTTGCCGATGGTCTTATTTCCACCTGTGAGATCTCTGCTAGGCGTGCATAATCTTCTTTGATCTTGCAACTACAACATTGGTCCGATGCGTGAGCCAATAAAAGTCCTTATAAGGAAACCTAAGAGCACAGATGAGCGTCTTCTTTTATAAGAGGGCCAAGAATCCTTGCTGCCCCACAGGATGAAAAGTTTTCCCGAACATGACGCGAGTGATCTCTTAAATATCGTTCAAATGAAGCCATGGATATAACAATCGTGTTCCTTCTTGGGCGGATGTGGTCAATTCGCCACTTTTACAATTCTTTTTAATATTTATGAACAGGTTTCTTTGAGTCTTACTGCTGCAATGACGGCCGCCCCGAGCAATGTCGTTAATCTGAGGTAAATGTAAGATGGCATTAATGGTGTATCACGGCGGCAGACAGAGGTGAGCTTACACAATTTCATTTAGCCCTCTGAAAAGTAAATTCGTATAAAATAAACATAGTGCCAAAGCAGACAACCACATGAGATTTCTATATATTACGGCTGCATCGCTATCCTTGGGTCCCTTTTCTGCAAAACCATTGCTTATCATGAAATCAATAGGTTGTATAAAAACTAAGGATTTAGTAAATATCTCGACTCCAGCGCCACCCAGCGGGTCCATTTTTAGCAAACGAATTCATCATGCAGGTGGCTCGTATTGCGAATTTGAACGAAATCGGTCAATAAATACGACTCTTATAGATGACAAAACTCCAGTGCTACCAAGCGAGTCTTCTAGTAGTTAGTCTATAGTAGGATCATATGTGAAAGGTATAACCTCCGACAATTTGACTCTATCCAGTGGTTTTTAGTTTAGTCCGAACAACAAAAACAGCTACCATTTTATGTATATAAGTATGTACATATGTAGAAAGGACAATCTATACGAAACACATAAAAATTAAAATTTCAAACTTTGTGCTAAATTAAAAAAAAAAAAATTCAATCGTTCACAAAAAATTTTACCCTTTCCCAAAAATCAAAAAAAAAAGTAACAATCGCTCAATGTGATTTAGAAATCTAGGAGAAAATGGTTCCCAGTGAATGATGCTTGCCTATCTATGTTTATTAGGCTGCATCACCAAAAAAACGTTGCGGGTTTTCCGCCGGGATTACAAAATCTATTATATTTTAAGACGTCCACCAAAATATTTCGGAAAAATATTAAGATTTAAGCGAGCTGGACCAATTTGAAAATACCTCCAAAAATGGAGTTTTTTATGAATAAAAATAGTTTCTTAAAGAACTTTTTGAAAAAAGGTCCCTCAGATGACAAAACAGATTAGGCTTAAAAATCAGCATAAAAATATAATTAAAAATATTTTCAATGGAATCGTAATAATGAGAATTTTGATGTTGTTTTTTTACTTTTTTCAAAGATTGATTTACGAAAAACTTAAATAACTGGGCCAAAACTATTCTGATTTAGACTTATGGGATCTCGGTCGAAAGGTATTTTCCCACTACTTTTATTTATGTGCAAAAAAGTAATTCGTGTACTTTTTTTTCAAATACCAACACAATTCAACTTTGAATGATGTTCGTTCATCCTACCTTTCTCTTTCATCCTTTGAATGAGCAAAGAAATAAAAAGGGTGGCAAAATATCTTTTCAATGATACCTCACAAGTCTAAATCGGAAGAGTTTAGGTTCATTTATTCAAGTTTTTCTTATACCAATCTTTGAAAAAAGTTAAAAAACAGCATCAAAAATCTCATTATTACGATTCCGTTCAATTTTTTTTTTAAATAGTGTTATGTAAATTTTTTAAGCATAAACCGTTTTGTCATTTGAGCGGATTTTTTCAAAAAACATCTTTAATATTACATTTACATTGAACCCAAATGCGTCATTTGGGGGAGAAAACATAAATGCGAAGCCAAATTACGCATTTCCCCATACAAATTCGCATTTCTAAAATCACGCATTTGAACGCATTTAAACAAAATCACGAAGAAAATGCGTTCCAATTGCCGTACTATTTTATTGAACTCACTCAGAAACAAAAGTTCCACAAAAGCTTTTGTTTGTCTTTGACATTTGGAATTTTTCAAAATCAAAACAAAGACAACGAAATGAATAAATCTTTGAAATTTGCATATAAAAATTGTTAATTTATACATAACCTTTACACATTTTAAGTTTAATCAATAATTGCCTTTTTGTGTCCAAAATGTGTTAAAAAATATAAGGCATGCAGTGTTTGTTTACATTCCTTTTGTTTTCGTTTTCCCTTTTCAATTGATGAGAAGTCAAAGGAAATGCGAACTAAGTAGTGTAAACACCTTCAGATGACTGATTTCAAATCACGCATTTCGGTCCAATGTAAATGTAATATAAGAAACTATTTTTATTCATAAAAATCTCTATTTTTGGAGGTATTTTAAAATCGGTCTAGCTCGCTTAAATCTTAATATTTTTGTGAAATATTTTGGTGGACGTCTTAGAATATAATAGATTTTATAATTCCAATAGAAAAACAGTACCGATTTTTTTTTTGTATGGGGAGTGATGCAGTCTAATATATATATATGGGGGGTTCCATACCAAAACGGACGGGGTTCACACTTCATGTGTTTGATTTGTTTAAAAAATTTAGGGTTGATGCATAAACATAAATAATAAATAAATATGAAAGTTGAGATTCATTAGTACATTTTTTTAAATTTTACAGCACAAAAACAAAAACAAATCGATTTAATAGTTTTCCAAATACCTCGAGAACAGTGCGAGGAAAAAATTTGAAGAAAATCACACATCGAAATTCTCTATGAAAAGGAATATTTTAAAAAAATTGTTTCTTGAAAACTTTTTCACTGTTTTTGAAAATATGCCTTCTCAAAAAAAAATTAAAAAAAATCACAATGGTAGCTCTGAGTATTGCGCAGTATTTAAGTATAGTATTATAGGGTGCTTTCTACAATAATTTGAGTTATGTTTTTTTTTTTTACACCGAAGTTGAGGAAAATGAGTCGCGTGATCTCTTGAATATCGTTGAAATCAAGCCATTGATATACCTACCGTGTTCCTTCGTGGACGGATGTGGTCGAATCTTCCTTGTCGATTCGCCACTTTTACAATTCGTCTTAATATTTATGAACTGGTTTCTTTGCGTCCTACTGGTGCATTAACGGCCGCCCCGAGCAATTTCCTCAATCGGAGGTAAATGCAAGACCGCATTAAGGGTGTACGAGGCCGTCAGACAAAGGTGCGCTTACAAAATTCCATTTAGCCATCTGAAAAGTAAGCACATGGAGTTTCTATATATTTCGGCAGCAGCGCCATCCATTGGATAATTTTTTTTGCAAAATAAGCGATATGAGAAATTCAGTTTGTATGGCAGGTGCTACGCCCCCTTTTCCAATACCTTCCACTTTCCGTCGTGAGCGCAGTATTATTAACATATCGTCGGTTTAAGTACAAAACCGCGTATCAACAAAATGCAAAACCGCGTATCAAGATAATGCAAAACAGCTTATGTGAGGTTGCATAAATTATTTTCTAGAGAGTAAAAACACTTATATTTTAAAATGGTTCTCTTTTTTATAAAGCAATCGAATTTCTGGCTATTATATTTCAGGACGAATGGATAAGGATTTAGCCAAGAGGTTGTGTGAGCAAACCCAATTTTTGGCAGCAAATGTCAGTTACGCGGGTTTCCAGAATGACGATACGCAGCTTGGTACTTTAAACGACCATATATACACAGCTGTGTCAAATTTCAGTACGTTGGCTTAAGCGGTTCCAGCGATAAGCGATATGAAAATTTCAGTTTGTATGGGAGGTGTCACGCTCCAGTTTCCAATACCTGCCACTTTTCGCTGAAAGTCCGGTATTGATAACATATGTGGCTGTTCAAATTTAGGACGTTAGCATAAGGCGGTTCCAGAGATAGGCGAGATGAGAAGTTAAGTTTATATGGGAGGAGCCACGCCCCCTTTCCCAATATCTGCCACTTTTCGCCATAAGTAGGGTATTTACAATTTATGCATCCATGCCAAGTTTCAGTTCCCGAGCGTAGTTGGTTTAAGAGATATATTGGTGCCCTCAAAAAAGGGGCTTCAACATTTTATTTTGACGAATGTATATGTGTAGATTAGAGTGGTCCAAAAAAACTAAGTGGAAATTTTAATGCCGGCACCCCCTAGGATTGTTCTATATCGAAAAAAATATACCCCTATTTTTTTTATTTTGAAATCAAAAAATATTTAGGGGGTTCTCAAAGCGCTCAAAGTTTTCCATGTATTTTATATGGAGAAAAAAAAACATTTTTCGTAGAAATGGTATAAAACTCTTAAAAATCATTATTTTTCAATCGCAAAACTGTGGTTCTCTTCAGGAGACTTCCAGTATTAATATCCAATTGTTTATTTAACCATTTTTTATGATTAAAGATTTTTCCATTGCATTTTCTAAGGGTTTTGGAGGACCTATAAAATATAGTTACTATGAAAAAATGGTTAAAGAGGCAATTGCGTATTATTACTGGGAATCTCCTGAAGATAAGAAAAGTTTTCCGATCGAAAACTGTTGATTTTCAAGAATTCTACACTATTTCTACGAAAAATTGTTTTTCCCCCATATAAAATACATGGAAAACTTTGAGAGCTTTGAGCACTCCCTATTTTTATTTTTTTTTTTTCAAAATAAAAAATAGGAGTATATTTTTTCGATATAGAACAATCCTAGGGGGTGCCGGCATTAAAAATCCGACCTTATTTTTTTACATACATTTTTGGACCACTTTAGTGTAGATATCTATCATTATCCCACTGTATAAGAACGTTAGGAATATCCCGACCCCAGCACCTCCTCTCATGTAATTTTTTAGTCCAAATATTCCTTTTCAATTGGAATCAGGCATCGCGGTCATACGAAAGACATTTCATTTTTATATATTTAGATATAGAAAGAGAAAAAAGTAGAATATGCACAAAAATATTCAATTTTGCTTGTTGTTACAGCTTGTAATGCTATGGAAACGCTTCTCATACACGAGGATCTAATGAGTGGCGGCGTCTTTAACGATACCTGCAACATGTTGAAAAGAGAGGGCGTTAAAATCTATTCGGGCCCAAAACTGAGTCAAAAGTTAACCTTCGGTCCTCCGGCTGCGAAGAGTCTGAAGCATGAATATGGGGCGTTGGAATGTTGCATAGAAATTGTAAAGGATATCGACGAAGCAATAGATCATATACATACGTATGGCAGCGGACATACCGACGTCATTGTCACAGAAAACGGTACGTACAACTAAGTCATTATAGTAATTAGCCAGTGTATGTTGAATGGCATTAGCAAATGAGCACTAAAAATAAGATAGTTTGCTACTTTTCGTATAACATAAAGCATTAGCCATTGTGATTCCAATGTGGTTTATTCACTCCATACCTTCAAACCTGCGCAATTTAAGATTGCATGGGCGTACTTACATAAATATCTACATACATACACATATGAGCCATTCTTTTTTAAGTCGGACGGATTTCGGAAAAAAAATATTTCATGTCTCCGATTCGCTTCAAATTTTTTTTTGTGGGTTCTATACATGAAAGAAGCTAACACGTGTTCGAGGAATTTTTTTCTTCTTTTTTTTCTTCGGAGATGTGATCTGTCAAAGTTTGCATATTTTCGTGATTCTGACTAATCATGTACTTCTTCAAATCGTTATATCTCTGCTGATCGTAGAGACTTCATCTTAATGCAATTTTAAAGCTAAGAAACGGGCTTAATATTTCTATATATAAGATGGTCAAGATTGTCCTAGAGCTAACTTAGCTATTAAAGTTGAACCTTTTGAAGTTGATTTGCATAGTGAAGACCAGTAAATTAGGGATTTAGAATTATACCATCGTAATCCTTGTTTAATTCTCTATAAAAAACGTGGTTCACAAAAATGGGGGGTTTTCAACAACTATTTTTAAAATATTTTTCTTTATGACGAGATGGTTTATTTTGTGAGAATCAAGAATTTTTTGTAATTTTTTTCGAAAACTTATGTTAAGATATATTTGGTAAGGTGTTAAACATCTGATTTTTGCAAAAAGTAAATTTTTATTGCGGATTCCGATAGAATACCTATCCAGATATAATATTTGTATGGCAAGATTTATCTTTTTCTTTTTCTGAACGAATTTTCCATTAACCTAACCACATATTATATGCGCTCGTAGTATTTGCAACATTTAGGACACAGAATCAAGCATGCGGTAAACATTTGTGTCGCTGCAAATTAATTCCGAGTTCGTTTTTAATATTCTTTGGAAAAGTTGTTAAATTTTGTTGCACAGCTGCACACGCTGTACTTTACATACCCTGTAGGGAAACCCCGAACTGGCGAACCAAATTTGTAGTCCCGTACTAGATCTTTATCGCCAAAAACGAACCAGTCCGATAGTAACTAGATCGCCACCAGTTCAAAAGCAGCGATATGTGGTACTTTTAAAAAACAATTTTAGAAATCTATATCTAAAATGACGAATTTAGAACTGGTTCAAAACTGTAGAAAAAGGGATGCAGAACGAACTACATCTCATCTGGCGAATTTTGATCTAGTTCGAAACTACTGAAAAAAGGATGCAGCGGGGGGCTTGTTTACTTTAATAGATTTTTGCTTGGCGGGTTTTTCGTTCAAATACGCTTCCAGTCTGCACGTCGCAGATGCTTTTTCATAGTTTGGTAATACAAAACTAATATTTGTGTTAACATCTTAACATTATGGGACCTTCTGGAATATGACCAATAACGGTCAGCACCTCTGCAAATTCAGCTACAGCCAAAGGAATGTAAACGTGTTTTCAAATGCACAATTTAATTTACATTCATTCAAACAAATTTGATTTCAGATTGAAAATACATTGCTCTGCAAATAATAAAAATTGCTACCATGGTAACCCAAAAAGAAAACATCTTGTTACTTTTTTCTTTTACAACTGGTGCGAAACTATAGAAAATGGGGTGCAAAGCGAACTAGATCCAATATGTCGAATTTCTGGTTCTGAACTATAGAAAAGGTAATGCAGCGGGGGACAATTTCCAATTCCTATGGCATCGCTGTGTTAAAATCGTCAGTTGTTTGCATGCAAAAGAGTTTATCCAGAACTAGTAGTGGTTCTAAATGTACTAGAAGCGCACCAGTTCAAAACTAGAGATTTTCCCCACAGGGTACAGATAGATGCATACATACTTAAGCATTGAACATACATACATATGTTCTGCACATTCAAAGAAATGCGAAGCAGTGCTAATAACCATACCATAAGCGTTCTTACACGATATGTATTTCCATATAATATAATAGCAGACCCGGCGAACTTCGCCCGCCCAAAATTTGTTTCTTTATTCCAATATTTGGTACAAAGTTTCACCACAATTCACGTTTATATTTCTTTTTGTGGTCGTCAGAAAGCATATCCTCCATTGCCGTCTTAAATAACCTAACGAAAGCGTTATGTCCGTGAAGAAGTTCTTGTGGAAACAATCATCCGGCTCGATGATGAATCGTCCTTGAATCTGTATAGAAAAGGTGGTGGCAATTTCAAAATGAGAGAACATCATTGGTCCACAGAAATCCAATATACATAGACTTATTTCAGACGAAATACCATAAATGTCTTACAATTGAATTTGTAGGCATTCATCAAGAATTGTCTTTATTTTGTGTAGTCGCCGTAAAGCAAGGAACGCAATGGTTATGGTGGTCGATTTAACGGTGGTAATTTGATTTTGATCCCTGGTCTCTCCGAATGACTTCACTTGACGATTTTTAGCAATTACTCGACTCCAGCGCCACCTTGCGGCTCTTTTTTTTCAATAGTATTGCCCCTACCGATACCAATATGCATCTTGTTTATGAGGCAAATCGGACCATAAATACCATTTTTAGTAATAACTCGACTCAAGAGCCACCTGGCGAGCCATTTTTTACGCAGAATTATTTCCCTTCACGTTACCAATACATACATTGAATATTAGCCAGATTGGATCATAAATACGATTTTTAATAACTCGACTCCAGCGCCATTTGACGTTTTAAGTTGTGAACCTAAACTATACAGGGACTTTAGGACAAAAATTTCATTAAAATCATTTCGGTCGTTTAGGAGGAGTTCACTCGAAAACACACGTATCGAAGAATTATACAGTGGCGGTCAAAAATGGATGAATGGAGTTTCGTTTTTAATAAAGTGCAAAACGTTATCAACAAAAAAAAATATTAAAAATCAATGTGATTTTTTAGCCGCTCAAGACTTGCACTTGTTTTACTAGAATTTTATAAGCTTGTTAACTGCATACCCCGAAAAATTCTAAATTCTGATTCAAAAGCTCGAAATTTAGATAAAAATTTGTGGAATTTTTCTAAGTTCTGTACAAAGTTTGAAAGTGTGATTTATATAGTTTTTATAAAAAAATATCAAAAAAATTTTAGCTTAAAAATATTAAAAACGAAACACTATTCATCCATTTTTGACCACCACTGTATATGTATTTAAAGATAGGTAAAAGTTTCAGTACTTTCATACCAAGTTCCAGGGCTCTACCACAAATGCTTCCAGAAATATGCGGTGGCAATAACCAAAAAAGTCTATTTCAAAAAAATCGGTACAGCGTTTGCGAGATCACTTCTTACAAAAAGGTGGCACTTCTCTTAATATAATTCGTATAGATAATATATATCGATAAATAGCCAATACCTGCTTGCTTTGCGGCGCCTTAAAACATTTCTCTGGTCCACTTCACGGAAAAAAATAATCACATATGCTAATCTAAGCAAAAAGCTACCTACGTACAAAATTTTAAGCAAATAGGACCATAAATACGATTTCCCCGATTGGATCGGTTCCTGGTCCACTTCCCGGAAAAAAAGAATCATATATGGGAATCTAGGCAAAAAGCTACCTACGTTCCAAATTTTAAGTAAATCGGACCATAACACGATTTTTTCGTATAGATCGGTCCCTGGTCCACCTACCGGAAAAAAAGTAAATTTTTTGGCCTATGACATGGTGGTTGCTGAAAGCTATTTATAACAAAATTTCATGAAAATCGGAGCAGCAGTTCGCGAGATTACCTGTTACAAAGAAAAGGGACTTCTCTTAATATAATTACTATAGATTAAGCAAATCGGACCATAAATACGATTTTTTCGAATAAATCGGTACCTGGTCGCATTCTCGGAAAAAAATGATCCTATATGCTAATCTAGGCAAAAAGCTACCTACATTCCAAATTCTAAGCAAATCTAAATCTGACCATAAATACGATTTTTCGAATAGATCGGTCCCTGGTCAACTTCCCGTAAAAAAATTGTCCTATATGCTAATCTAGGCAAAAAGCTACCTACATACCAAATTTTAAGCAAATCTGACCATAAATACGATTTTTTCGAATAGATCGGTCCCTGGTCCACTTCTCCGAAAAAAGGATCCTATATGCTTATCCAGGCGAAAGCTACCTACGTACCAAATTTTAAGAAAATCGGACCATAAATACGATTTTTTCGAATAGATCGGTCCCTGGTCCATCTCCCGGAAAAAAAGGGATCCTATATGCTAATCTAGGTAAAAAGCTACCTACATACTAAATCTTAAGCAAATCGGACCATAATGAGATTTTTTCCAATAGACCGGTCCCTGGTCCACCAACCGGAAAAAGTTAATTTTGGTCTAAAACATGGTGGTTTCTTAAAGCTATTTATATACAAAATTTAATGAAAATCGGGCCAGCCGTTCGCGAGATTACTTGTTACAAAAAACGGGACTTCTCTTTATAAATATATATCAAATCACCCAGACCGAGGGAAAGTGAATTTAAGTTTGCGATAAAACTCACAGGGATTGTTCCTTCAACAATTTAAGGAGACACGTATTTTTTCTTTTTGCTCAGAAATTTGAATTTTTCGAATAATGAATTTTTTTAATTTTGAGTACAAACGCTTCTTTTTCCCTCTCTTAATAGCAACTTTTGATGAAATCGCTTATAACTGCCGCAAAAAAGCAAGGATTTTAACGATTTTTTTTTAATTGTAGATATTGGTCTACTGAATCGGTCTAGTGAACTAAGCATCAGTAATTGTTCATTAATAATTAATTATTATTAATAAACAAAAAAAAATTTCAAATTGCTTTTTTTCAAATTGCCACATTTTTTATTTCTCTCCAACTTTTTTGTCCATTAGGGAATAGTATAAACTATTTTCAGTGCGAGTATCAATATGCTAAAATTCGTCGTTTTCGAGTTATGA